ATAAAACCAAAAATAAGAAAATGAAAAAACAACAGTTTTCTTCATTATTTGTCTCCAAAACCAAAATGAAAAAAACAGATCAAGATTCGTTTTTTCAGTTTTCGATTTTGTGTTTAAATGAAAAATGGAAAAAAACAGATAACGGACTGAACCAGGACTGATCCAGGTCCGGGACCAGACCGAGACTGAAACCGGGACCAGACTGAGACCAGGACTGAGACCGGGACCGAGACCAAGACCAGACCAGGACCAAACCGGGACTGAGACCGAGATCAGACCGGGACTGAGACTAAGACCAGGCCAGGACCAGACCGGAACCAGACCAGGACTGAGACTGAGACCAGACCGGGACCAGACCAGAGGCTCAGAGCCCACGACAGGGCCAGAGCTCGAAGCTGAGGCTCGGACCCTGCGGAGGCTCAGAGTCAAAGCTCGGACTCCACTCTGGTCCCGCTCTGGTCTCAGTCTGGTCCTGGACCTGGATCAGTCCTGGTTCAGTTCGACGTCTCAGTCACTGAAGTCACGTAAACAGAAAACGATCGTTCTCTGTTTCTTCCATTTTTCATTTAAACACAAAATCAAAAATTGAAAAAACGAATCATTATCTGTTTTTTTCATTTTGGTTTTGGAGACAAATAATGAAGAAAATTGTTGTTTTTTCGTTTTCTTATTTTTGGTTTTATATTAAAAAACAAATGAACGAACGACACATGGATTTTGCAAAATTATCAAAAACAAAAAAACAACAAAAAACTAAGCATTTAAAGTTAAATATTAACACTTTTGAGTCACGTTTTCAGCTCTCCTCCTTCCTTTGCTCTCCACCCTAAGTCACTCCCCCTTCAGAGCGCCATCACAACACAACCAAAAAACGCAACAAAAAAGTGCGCAGTTTTGTGTCATGTTTTTGTAAATTTACGGAGAATTGTCGCGCGGGGAGGGTGGGAGGGCTTGTGGGCGGAGCCTCGTACAAGCTCGTACGGCTAAACGTAAGGAGGGAGAGATCGCTAGATGACTCAAACACCCCGGGATGACACTAAAACCTCTTCAGACATATTTTTGATGACATAACGTGGTAGAAAACAAAAAAAAACAGCCACAATTCCCACGAAAAAGTTAGATTATTTAAGTTTTATACGTAAACGAATGTCAAATCGTCGAAACGCAGTCATTTAAACGGATCTGTGCGTCGTATTTTGCGGCGCACACGTGTTTTTATGGATTATACTGGCCTAATATTAAAAGCGGACAGACATCGCAGACACACAAACATCCGTAATACGCCGTAATATGATTTATGTGCATTTAAAACGTACAAACTTCACGCCGACAAAAGCCCCGGACGCGTTTCCCCTTTCGACGAGTTTCGGTTTTCGACGACGGCGACATGAAAACGTTAAAACGGCAGACGGGGGGACGGGTATTGCACAGTATTGTATCGTAACGGTATAAAAAAAGGCGAGTATGAGTAACGTACGGTGTAATAAAAAGTGTGCACGGAGAGTTTCGGAGCGCGGCGGGAACGGTCAGGCCCGACGCACGAAACAGCAGCAGACGAAACAGGACGTGGAGGGTTTAAAAGTCCAGAAATATGCAAAAACAACAGGTTCACTCGGAATATTACGTTTTAAATCTAAAAACACCACAAGTTTTTTTTTTTTAATGCACTTCTCTGGACTCATTCTGGTCACGTTTTTGTTGATTACCCAGTGTTACCAGCAGAGGGCGACAGACACGGACCTGTTGTGTTTTTAATAAAGGAGTGGAACTAAAAAAATGAACTAAAAAAAAAAAGGTTCTGGTGCTGGTATTTTGGGTTTTTTTGTAAGTTATGGACTGATGTGTTTGGAATTTCCACCAGTAAATTAAAAATAAAAGCCTCACAGGAAGTCAGAGGTTTGAATTTAAACGTCATATTTACGAGTTTTACATTCATAATTACGAGTTTAGTTCATTGTATTTATATTTTCTGAAGAGCGACTAGATTTTCAAAATAAAAAATGACATAAAATTGTGAGTGTTTAATTTTTAAAGGAGAATTTTTCTACACTCGGCCCTTTCATGACGAATAATGTGAGTCAGTATAGTCACGTTTTCTTTGTGTTTTGGTCGTTTTTAAGCAGATTTTTTGTATTTTATCTAAATAAATGACAGTTTTTGCTTGTCTTTACTGTTGGCAGGGATCAGATTGGTCAAAAATAGGGACATATCTTGGATAAAACTGGGACAAATCTGTGGTTTTGACCGACCAGACAATCACAAAACACAATATTCAGATGAGTTTAAATTATGTAATTTGAGAATACAACATTAATTTAAGTAATTTGGACTAGTTTGGATGCATCTGTTCCATTATGGTTCTTGCAAAAATTAACAAAAACAAAAACAAAAAACTAAAACTGAGCATTTAAAGCGACATTTACACTTTTAAGTTCACTTGCGGAGCTCCCCTCCCATTCATGATTAATGTGAGTCGGTATATTCACATTTTCTTTGTGTTTTGGTCGTTTTTAAGCAGCTTTTCTGTGTTTTATCTAAATAAATTACACTTCATGTCTCTCTTTACTGTTGGCAGGGATCAGATTGGTCAAAAATAGGGACATTTCTTGTATAAAACTGGGACAAATCAGTGGTTCTGGATAAATCTGCTGGGACAGGGAGTGACAGATCTGCGTAAGACCTGACCGACCACAACATCACAAAACACAACATTCAGATGAGTTTAAATTGGAGAATACGAAATAAATTTAAGTAATTTTGACTAAATTAGATGCATCTGTTGAATTATGGTAAATTAACAAACTCAATCCCCAAAAACAAAACAGAGCATTTAAAGCAGACATTTCAAACTCAGGCCCACAATAGAATTATATTTGGCCCGTGAGATCAGATCAAATCTGTATTAGAGCCGCCCACCGGCTACAGATCGACTATAGAGACATGATTTATTTAAAATGTTGTTATTATTTTATATTCTGTTTGTTCTGGATTCAATCTTTAAGCAAAACTATTATTAAACATTTACTTTAGTAAGAAAAGGTTTAACAGTACAGATCTGCAAAGAAGAGAAAACATACAGATGATGGTGACATTTTTCAATAAATATTTAATTTGTCCCACGGCTTAGTCCCAGTTTTTAATTTTGGCATCTGTGAGTTTGAGTTTGACTCTCCTGGTTTAAACCAACATATGAACACTTCATTTTCAGTGCTCTCCTCCCGTTCATGACTAATGTGAGCTGATATAATCACATTTTCTTTGTGTTTTGGTCGTTTTTAAGCAGCTTTTTTGTGTTTTATCTAAATAAATTACACTTCATGTCTCTCTTTACTGTTGGCAGGGATCAGATTGGTCAAAAATAGGGAATTTTTTTGTATAAAACTGGGACAAATCAGTGGTTTTGGATAAATTCACTAGGACAGGGAGTGAAAGAAGATCTGCGTAAGACCAGAAAACACAACATTTAAATGACGTTTAAATGACGTAATTTCAGAATAGGAAATTAATTTAAGTAATTTGGACTAGTTTAGATGCATCTGTTGCATTACGGTTCTTGCAAAATGAACAAAAACAAAAAATAAAACTGAGCATTTAAAGCGACATATTAAGACTTTTAAGTTGATTTTTGTGACTAATATGAACTGATATAGTTGCATTTTCTTTGTGTTTTGGTCGTTTTTAAGCAGCTTTTCTGTGTTTTAACTATAACCCGGGGGTCAAATGTGACCCTCAGAAAAATGTTTCTTGGCCCTCAGGCTTCCAGATGAATTGGCCCAAACGACCTTGCATCAATTAAAAATTAACTATTTACAGCAAGTTTTTTGAAAGTCTTCCTTGATAAAGCCAATATTTAATATTTAGTTAGTGGTTTTAAGGATCTTATATATAAGAATAAAGTCTGGTGGTTCATTCTAACGTGTTAAACATTAAACATATTTCAATTATTTCCTGTACTGAGCTCCAGTCTGCGGCCCTCGATCAGTCCTCTGCTTCATCTGTGTTTAGATCTGTGGCCCTTGATGAAAAATAACATCACCACCAGTTTATGTTTCTCTTTACTGTTGTCAGGGATTAAACTGGTCAAAAATAGGGACATTTTTTGTACAAAACTGGGACAAATCGCAGGTTTTGTATAAATCTGTTGGGACAGGGGACACGGGCTCAAAACTGGAACGTCTGGTCGCCCTAATGTTCTGTATTTCTGCTTTTATTTTTTGTTTATTGGTGGAAATGGGCTTCTATCGATGTAAAAATGGGAGGTTAATATGTATTTTTATAAGATGAATTCATGACAATGCAAATACCTGTTTGCTCTGTTAAAGTGTGATCTGTATTGTTCTTATTGTTGACTATAACTGCGTTGTATAATTTCTTTGTGTAAATCAGGGACTGCAGATGGAAACAGCTCAAATCTGGAGCGGAAATTCAGTTTTTTTATGAGTTTAATGTCCCTTCAAATAAAAACTGAACTAAACTAAACGTGTGTCTCTAAAGTTCTGACCTCTGTGGATCATTCTGTTTTAATTTACACATTTTAAATCACAACATTCATCTAAAAGTCTTGACGTTTTCATATTTTATCAATTAAATAAATACATTATGTTATTCCGCATGTGTACTCTTTAGTTCCACTTTGTGACATCATCAAGTGTTAATCCGTGAACCCGTCTTCCTAAAATGCAACTTAAAATGTCAAATAGCAGCTGAATGTTTTGAGCTCGTTTGAAAAGACGGTGTTCCTGTGTCCCTGCGCCCTCTGCTGGTGGCGTGATCTGTTTTTTTTTAACCTTTGTTTAAATAAAGAAACGTGAAAATATAAAGTACAAAAGTTTTCCTAAAACCCGGACGATGCATATCACAGGACTCGAAAAGCGAAAAAAAAAAAAAAAAACAGAAGAGAGACAGAAGAGAAGACAACGAGGTCAGAGAGCAGGCGACAGGTTCAGACCCTGGCAGGAGCAGACCCCGACAGGCGCACAGGGAGTGGCGGGGGGGGGAGCGGAGGGGGCGGAGTCTTATTTGTACGGCCGTAGGAAGCGCGTGACTTTGGAGCGGAGCAGTTTGATGAAGGACCTGGGGAACATCTCCTTGGACTCTTGGGCCGTGTATCTGAAGTAGTTCTGAGGATGAGCCAGGACGTCGAACAAAGCTTTGATTAACTTCTTATCCTGAAAAAACACGACAAAAACACACTTTTACACTTTTATCCTGACGAGAAACAACAAAAACACATTTTACATTTTTATCCTGAAGAGAAACAACAAAAACACACTTTACACTTTTATCCTGACGAGAAACAACAAAAACACACTTTACACTTTTATCCTGAAGTGAAACGCAACAAAAACACACTTTACACTTTTATCCTGAAGAGACATGACAAAAACACACTTTACACTTTTATCCTGACGAGAAACAACAAAAACACACTTTACACTTTTATCCTGAAGAGACAACAAAAACACATTTTACACTTTTATCCTGAAGAAACGCAACAAAAACACATTTTACACTTTTATCCTGAAGAAACGTGACAAAAACACACTTTACACTTTTATCCTGAAGAAACGCGACAAAAACACACTTTACACATGCGACAAAAACACACTTTACACTTTTATCCTGAAGCGAAATGCGACAAAAACACACTTTACACTTTTATCCTGAAGTGAAACGCGACAAAAACACACTTTACACTTTTATCCTGAAGCGAAAAGCGACAAAAACACACTTTACACACGCGACAAAAACACACTTTACACTTTTATCCTGAAGAAATGCGACAAAAACACACTTTACACTTTTATCCTGATGCGAAATGCGACAAAAACACACTTTACACTTTTATCCTGAAGAGACAACAAAAACACATTTTACACTTTTATCCTGAAGCGAAACGCGACAAAAACACACTTTACACTTTTATCCTGAAGAAACGTGACAAAAACACACTTTACACTTTTATCCTGAAGAAACGCGACAAAAACACACTTTACACTTTTATCCTGAAGCGAAAAGCGACAAAAACACACTTTACACACGCGACAAAAACACACTTTACACTTTTATCCTGAAGAAATGCGACAAAAACACACTTTACACACGCGACAAAAACACACTTTACACTTTTATCCTGAAGAAATGCGACAAAAACACACTTTACACTTTTATCCTGATGCGAAATGCGACAAAAACACACTTTACACTTTTATCCTGAAGAGACAACAAAAACACATTTTACACTTTTATCCTGAAGCGAAACGCGACAAAAACACACTTTACACTTTTATCCTGAAGAAACGTGACAAAAACACACTTTACACTTTTATCCTGAAGAAACGCGACAAAAACACACTTTACACACGCGACAAAAACACACTTTACACACGCGACAAAAACACACTACACTTTTATCCTGAAGTGAAACGCGACAAAAACACACTTTACACTTTTATCCTGAAGCGAAACGCGTCAAAAACACACTTTACACTTTTATCCTGAAGCGAAACACGACAAAAACACACTTTACACTTTTATCCTGAAGCGAAACACGACAAAAACACACTTTACACTTTTATCCTGATGCGAAATGCGACAAAAACACACTTTACACACGCGACAAAAACACACTTTACCCTTTTATCCTGAAGCGAAACACGACAAAAACACACTTTACACTTTTATCCTGAAGAAACCTGACAAAAACACACTTTACACTTTTATTCTGAAGAAATGCGACAAAAACACACTTTACACTTTTATTTGAAGAGAAACACGACAGATTAGGTAAATCGTTGCCTAAATTTACTGAAATTCAATTTGGAGCTGTGAAATGTTTTCAACTTAAATAAACGTTTGTCCAGTTGACAAACATTTATTGACAAGTTGAGTTTCTCCTTTGTCATGGATTCTACCCTGACGACTGAGGGATTTTACACACTCCCAGAACAAAAAGAGGACAGCGTTACCTTTAATATTTCCTGATGGTTTTCTGAGGCGTAGAGTCGACCGTCTCTCACGATGTCCTCGATGAGCTGCTGATAATCCTCTGCACAACAAACACACACGATACGAGACACATCAGAACAGCACAGAGCACAGAGCACGACTGAGCATGTGCAGAGGAAACACGTGAGTTTACAGTATGTGTTTATAGAGTCAGGCCCCGTTCACACTGGTGTGTATTCAAGTGGTGTTGTTGTGTGTACAGGGTTCGTTCACACTAATCCGATGGAAAACGTCTCCAGAGTCTGAACGATCTTGTGCCTCCAGCTCCACGAGTTCATGTTGGTCCAGATGTGATGGGGACTGTGGGACTCCTGAAAACTCTGATCCTCTGATGTAGGAGCTCGAGTCTCGTCCTGATTGGACACGACACTGTGACTCGCTCCTTCTGATTCTCTGAGTTTGTGACATCGTCATGTGACGATATTGAGGAAAACACTTTAATCCACAGGTGTCAAACATAAGGCCCGGGGGCCAGATCCGGCCCTCCAAGACCTTTAATGTGGCCCGTGGCCCTTGGGTGATTTTCTACTAAAATATTTTAAATGTTGAAATTTTATTTTTCTTAAAGTTTCAGGTTGTTCATAATATTATAATATTTTGTAAAAGAAAGAGTTCATCAATTAAAAAAGATTTGTGTAATAGATTTGCGTTTCTCTGCACAAATATTTGAACTTGAAATCGGCTGCTACAACTTCAGACACGGTGCTGCACTTCCTTGTTTTTACTGCCCATGTGACGTTGTGGCGGCCTAGTCATGTGACTAGTGTTTCAGGCTGTTTCACATTACTCTGTGGAGGGAAGACTTTGATTGCGGACACAGAAACCACGTGTCTCGGCACAAATCGTATACGATACGGTGATATGTTTCAGTGTGAAAGTGACTTTATTGATCCACAGTGAAATGACTTGGACACAGCAGCTCACTCATCACAATATAATATAATAACAAACAGAAGAAATATAAATGTAATAATACATTCTAAATAAGTAGTAAAAAGAGCAACAAACATGTGTCAAATAAAGCAAAATAATACAAATGTACAAGTAAAAATAAAGTATAAAAATACAGCAGTGCACAGACAGTACATCTGAGTTATAAACAACAGGTCGAAAGGGAAACAGAGCAAAGAGCAGTAGTTTTAAAGGCGCTGTATTGTTGTAGGTGACAGTAAATGTATTTATACTTTGCACTAACATCACGCTGGGGGTGTCCTACATGTATGTTTATGGAGAAATGTTTAGCAGTTTTCATGGTGACACAATACACACGTTAGCAAACACTGTCAAAAAGACCATTTGAAAACAGCAGCTGTGTGTGTGTGTGTTTGTGTTAGTATGTGTGTTTGTTTGTGTGTGTCGTGTGTGTGTTGTGTGTGTTGTGTGTGTGTCGTGTGTGTTGTGTGCGTTTGTACCGTCGTAGGTGACGTAGGGCACCTGGAAGCCCTTCCCGGAGTTTGCTTCGTTGGATTTGAACTGAATCCAGAGGCGTCTGGAGCGGGAGGTGAAGGCGATGGGACGCTCGTACGTCTGACACGTCTCGTAGGTGGTGATGGACGTGGGCAGAGCTACAGCGGCAAAAACACAACAAAAACACAATAAAACACAGCAAAACACATTATTATTATTATTATTATTATTATTATTATTATTATTATCATGCAGGAAACTCGGACTCAAATGCAACACAAAGAAATTAATCGAGCACAAAGTCTTCTATAGGCGAAGCTTAAAATGACAAATGAGGCCAAAAATAAATTTAAATAAATACATTTTAATAAATTAAAAAAATATTTAAATTAATTTAATAAATAAATGATTTTATTATGTGAACTAAAATATCTTCCAAAACTGGTAAATTCTCTAATTTAAAAATGGGCTGAGAATAAATTCTATAAATGTCTATTGACTTGGGATTTTTAAAATATGGATCTCCAGAAAAAAACTTTAGAAAACACTGATCTATACAACCTTTAATTCTCCTTTAAACATGCTTCAACTGCACAGGAAAAGTCTAGATTTTTATCTATGACACAACAAAACTGGCAGAATGACAAACTGACAGAGCATTTCTGAGCCTCAGAGAAAACTTTGGATTTATGGATTCGTGGAAAAAACGTGAATGAAGCAAAAAGAGTAAAAAAGTCAAAGTTCGTGATGTTCGTAGTGTGTTTACCGCTCTTCCTCATGACCAGCACGTCGCCGCACTCGTCTTCGATCGGGAGGAAGATCTCAGGGACCACGATGAGGATGCGTCTCTTGTGGGGCGGGTTGATGGTCCACACACAGTCCACGTTCGAGGGGTAATCTCCGGGGTAGTTCGGGGACTCGATGTAGCCCGTGTACTCCCCCAGCTCCCCCCCACACAGCTGGTCTGAGGAGGACCACAAAGACCCGGGTTAGACCTGGTTCAGACCTGGTTCAGACCTGGTTCAGTCCTGGTTTAGACCTGGTCTAGTCCTGGTCAGGTCAAGTTCTTATTTCTGCTGTGGCTTTGGTTACTCTGTCAAATCATGTTTATGTCCTGGTTTAGTCCTGGTCTAGTTCTGCTGTAGTCCCGGTTTAGTCCTGGTTTAGTCCTGGTCTAGTTCTGCTGTAGTCCCGGTTTAGTCCTGGTTTAGTTCAGTTTTACAGGCCTGGTTTAATCCTGCTTTAGTCCTAGTTTAGAAATGGTCTAGTTCTGATTCAGTCCTGGTTCATCCTGGTTTAGTCCTGGTCTAGTCCTGGTTCAGTCTTCGTTCATGTTGGTCTAGTCCTGGCCTAATTCTGGTTCAGTCCTGGTTCATTCCAAGGCTAGTCCTGGTTTAGTCCTTGTTTAGTTCTGGTCCAGTCCCTGTCTAGTCTTGGTTTAGTCCTGGTTCAGTCCTGGTCTAGTCCTATTTTAGTCATACTTTAGACTGGTCTAGTCCTGCTCTAGTCCTGGTCCAGTCCTGCTCTAGTCCCGCTCTAGTCCTGGTCCAGTCCTGGTTTAGTCCTTCTCCAGTCCCACTCTAGTTCCAGTCCATTCCTGCTACAGTCCCGTCCAGTCCTGCTCTAGTCCTGGTTCAGTCCTGGTCCAGTCCCGGTCCAGTCCCGGTCCAGTCCCAGTCCAGTCCCAGTCCAGTCCCTGTCCAGTCCCACTCCAGTCCCGGTCCAGTCCCGGTCCAGTCCTGGTCCAGTCCCGCTCCAGTCCCGGTCCAGTCCCACTCCAGTCCCGCTCCACTCCCGATCCAGTCCCTCCAGTCCCGCTCCAGTCCCGCTCCAGTCCCGGTCCAGTCCCGCTCCAGTCCCGATCCAGTACCTCCGTCTCCAGTCCCGGTCCAGTCCCGCTCCAGTCCCGTCCTCCAGTCCCGTCAGTCCGGTCCAGTCCCGCTCTAGTCCCGGTCTAGTCCCGGTCCAGTCCCGGTCCAGTCCCGCTCTAGTCCCACTGTAGTCCCGGTCCAGTCCCGCTCCAGTCCTGTTCTAGTCCTTCTCCAGTCCCACTCCAGTTCCAGTCCATTCCTGCTCCATTCCTGGTCCAGTCCTGGTCCAGTCCTGCTCCAGTCCCGGTCTGGTCCTAGTCCTGGTCCTGGTTCCGGTTCTTACTCTTGCAGTGTGAGACGTTTGTGGCTCCGTCGAAGTCGGTGGTGGTGTTCCCGGGGCAGGTGATGCAGTAGTTCTGTCCAAACTCCGACTGATACGAGCCGAGGGGACAACGGATGCACCGATGTGTGCTGGAGTTATAAAAGTGTCCCGGAGCGCAGTGCACTGCCCAAACACACGACAGGAGCATTATTAACAACGACAGGACAGGTGCATTATGACCACACAGACAGGACAGGTGCATTATGACCACACAGACAGGACAGGTGCATTATGACCACACAGACAGGACAGGTGCATTATGACCACACAGACAGGACAGGTGAGAGTCTTTATGGAGAATCTACAGTTTAACTGTGTGTATTTCACTAAACTGACTCCTGTGAGCTTCAGGTCGTGTTCTGATGTTCTGATGTTCTGATGTTCTGAAGTTCTGATGTTCTGATGTTCTGATGTTCTGATGTTCTGATGTTCTGATGTTCTGAATGTTCTGAATGTTCTGATGTTCTGATGTTCTGAATGTTCTGAGTTCTGATGTTCTGATGTTCTGATGTTCTGATGTTCTGATGTTCTGATGTTCTGATGTTCTGATGTTCTGATGTTCTGAATGTTCTGATGTTCTGATGTTCTGATGTTCTGATGTTCTGATGTTCTGTTCTGATGTTCTGATGTTCTGATGTTCTGATGTTCTGATGATGTTCTGATGTTCTGATGTTCTGATGTTCTGATGTTCTGATGTTCTGATGTTCTGAAGTTCTGATGTTCTGATGTTCTGATGTTCTGATGTTCTGATGTTCTGATGTTCTGATGTTCTGATGTTCTGATGTTCTGATGTTCTGATGTTCTGATGTTCTGAAGTTCTGAAGTTCTGATGTTCTGATGTTCTGATGTTCTGAAGTTCTGATGTTCTGAAGTTCTGATGTTCTGATGTTCTGATGTTCTGATGTTCTGATGTTCTGATGTTCTGATGTTCTGATGTTCTGATGTTCTGATGTTCTTCTGAAGTTCTGATGTTCTGATGTTCTGATGTTCTGATGTTCTGAATGTTCTGATGTTCTGATGTTCTGATGTTCTGATGTTCTGATGTTCTGAAGTTCTGATGATGTTCTGATGTTCTGATGTTGTTCCGTGTGAGTCGTTCTCATCTTTCTGCTGATAATCAAACTCTGAACACTCGAGGAGCTGAACTGATCATCGGACAATTAAAATTTGCTCTTTAAATCACTTCTGTGTTTTTTTTCTTGAGTTTTCAGACCATTTAAAATATTCCTGCAGTGTTTGTGAATGTGTGAATTGTGTCACCATGGTAACTGCTGAACATTCATAGACTTACACACAGGACACCCCCAGTGTGACGTCACTGCAAACTATTAAACAATTAGTATTTAAATGAACTCTTAAAGATGCACTGTGTAACTTTTCTGGTGGAGGGTCTGTCACCTGCTCGTCTCCATGGAGATGTTATGGATTTGTTATAATGAATGAATCATTACATTTGCACAGCGTCTTTCAAGACACAAAAAGACTATTGTAGCCACAGCTGCCCTGGGACAGACTGACAGAAGCAAGGCTGCCAATCTGCCCCATCGGCCCCTCCCACCACCACCATCACACACACTCACACACTCCACTTTCTCATGAGGCAGTGTGGGTGAAGTGTCTTGCCTAAGGACACAATGGCAGGTGACACTAGCGCCCCCTGTGTCTCCTGATGTTCTCAGTGTCTCCATCCAAGTCCAGTCCAGACCTGCTGAACTTGAGACCTGACGAGATCAGACTTTGAAAAGCTGGTGTGGTTGTTGCCTGGAATGTTCCATGGTGTGACTTTAAACATTTGTATGTAACAGACAGTAATTCCTTCTGTGAACATGGGCGCCTCTCCACAGATCTGACCTGTAATGTAGCACAGTGCTGTGATCCGCTCATCTCCTGATAGATGAGGTTTAATCTACACTGTGGAACATTCTAGACAAAGCAATAGTGTTTCCATGGAGACGAGCAGGTGGTGGACCCTCCACCAGCTGCACATGTTTACTGTGTATTTTTTATATTTATATATCTGTATTTATATTATTCTGCACTTTCTGTTTTTAAATGTGAGGTATAAATGAACCTTGACCCTGACCTTGACCTTTGACCCTCCTCCCTCTGGTGTCTGACGTACACTCATATGTGACAGGGGTCATGATGTGACAGGGGTCATGATGTGACGGGTCATAATGTGACAGGGTCATGACAGGGTCATGTGCAGGTTCTCACCTTTGGCCTCACAGTCCCTGAAGGACACAGAGCCCTGGTGTTTGGTCATGAGTCCTCCTCCGCACGAGAAGCACAGAACTCTGCCCACTTCAGGCTGGAACGTCCCCACCGGGCACAGCTGGCACGGACGGAACCCGTCGGACGAGAACTGACCCGCCGGGCACTGGCCTGAGGAGAGACACATGTGAGGGACCTGAAGAACGTCCGACAGGTTTGAGTGATTCTCTCATTTGGACTCAAACTGGTGAATAAAACCTGCTGTAAATATCAAGTACAGAAGTAAACTGAGAAGAAAAGATGAAAAACATGTTGAAAATTACAGGAGTAGTTTTTGAGTCTTACCTCCACACTGGGAGATGTTTGGAGATGTTTGGGTCTTACCTCCACACTGGGAGACGTTTGGAGATGTTTGGGTCTTACCTCCACACTGGGAGATGTTTGGAGATGTTTGGAGATGTTTGGGTCTTACCTCCACACTGGGAGATGTTTGGAGATGTTTGGAGATGTTTGGGTCTTACCTCCACACTGGGAGACGTTCCTGGCTCCGCTGATCCCCGGTCCCTCGGTGCTGGGGCAGGGTTCGCAGGACAGTTGTCCCACTGTGTCCTGGTACGTCCCTGGAGGACAGGGGAGACACTGGTCCTGCTCGCCGCTGTAGAAGGTCCCCGCGGCGCAGCTCACTGAGGACGACACAACAGACGGTTACATAAATGGACACAGATGATCCACTCGCCGCCGCATGTCAAACAGGAAGTGAGCGCGGGCGTGTTTCTGGCTCCATGAACTCTCCCCTCTCTGTTCCTGCTGCTGTCAGGCTCCTCATGTTGGTCTTAAATGTTCGTATTAACCCACTCTACATGATCCTGGGGTTTTTATTTCACTATTTTTTCCCTAAATCAAAATATGAACATTAACAGAACAGTTAGTCTGTCTGTTGAGCTCTGGACTTGGGGAAAACCGACCTCCACCTCGAGAAAGTCCAATGGAACGATCAATCAGATCAGGTTCTGAAACACAAACTCGGGCGAGTTTGGCGCCAAAGATTCAGTTGGATTTATGTCACAGCTAAAATGTTGGTGCTCACAGTGAACGAGGAGAACTGTCTTTTTGACATTTTGATTTGTTAAGTTGTTTATGTAGAGAAAACTTTTGTAGTGACATTCAAAGTCACTTTATATGCAAACTCTGTGTGGACGCACGTCCAGGGCGAATCTGGCGTCGATGTGACATGTCTTGAGCGTTCAGGCGTCAACGCTCTGGACGTCAACCAGTCAGGGACGACTGTCCAGTGATGTAGCGACGTTATTATCCGGAAGAAGGAGAAGAAAGAGAAAGACCCTCATCAAGGATGAGGACAAGAACCGCATCAAGGAGCCACAAACATTAGCGGAGTATAAATATAAACACGCCGCAACCGCTGAGCCAGTGTTCTCTGCTGGTGGTTTTATGTAATAAAAAAAACTTAGAGCAGGAGTCTCCAACCTGTAGCTTGGAAGGTACCAGTAACTCTCCACCCTCTTCCATGTGGCTCACCAAGGGATTTCAGAATTCTATGTATTGTGGGTAAGTAAAATTTGATTAATTACTATTGGAAAAGTGTCATTTTGATGCCTAACTTGGTGCACCAATAAATGGACAATGGTTTATGTTTCATCCAACTGTTCCCCGTCTATATTTACTTAGTTTCTTTGTAACATCTGATATTGGTAGTTCTCTGGCATTTTTATTTCATAAAGGTAACTCACCGGAGAAAAAAGGTTGGAGACCCGTGCACTAAAATCTCTCTCAGCCTGGTCTGCCATCGCCCCAGGAAAAGACTGGGAAATGGCGCTTGTTTCCACGGCAACGAACGCCCGTTGGTCCACAGCGTCCAAGACGAGCGTCCGAGGCGTTTAAAGTCAAATGTAAAGGCTCCAACTCGGGGCGTCCAGCGTGTTTTTTGGACGCCTCAGTTTGAACTCAGCTTTAGACTTTTCTTTCACATCATTTGACAGTAACACAAGTTTTTTTCTGAACATGTAAAAGTCAAACTGCCGTAATTAAGTGGTTGACAGGTAACATTTATCTAACAGACTTGATTTATTATCAGGAGCGAGCGACACCTGACGATACATTAAACTTTCTTGGGCTCCATATTTTCCCCGAGTGTTGAAGTGGAACACATTTACAACAGACGTCAGGAGACTCAGGTTTATCAACTACTGACGTTCAAGAGAATTCAGTATAAATACTGATGGAGCCAGAAGCGCGCCCATGCTCACTTCCTGTTTGAAACACAGCAGTTTTCAGGTTCGTGTCGTCCTTGTCCACACTCAGTCTGTGGCGTGTACGTACCACACTTTCCCTCCCTGAGCACCTGCCCCGTGCTGCAGGCCTCGGCGCCCTCTACAGCGCGGGACGGTCTCTGCGCCACCTCGTACTCCGTCCCCGAGAACTGGATGTAGAACTGCTGCTTGTTGATGGACTTCCTCAGGGTCCTCAGGGCGCTCTGCAGCTTCAGCCGGGTCCTCTCGCGCACACACTCCATGTTACACGAGTCTGAAACCACACGAGAAAAGAAAACAGTCAAGAAACACGGAGAGAAATGATACAAGAACAGTTCGAGGGGTCTGGAGAACAAATGTGTGATGTACAAGACGAGGAAAAAAGTCCATACAGATGATGTGCAGCGGTTTATATAAGTCTACTGGAGATTCACAGTTTTTGAGAGAAAACTACAAAATTCAGATCCACAAATGTTTCTACTTCTCGTTCTGTGTTTGGAATCAGCTCCACAAACTCGTTATATTTTGTTTAGTGCTGTCAAAAATATTGTGTTTATTTATTTTTTTATTATGAGATTCACGTTCTTTGTGACCTAGTGAACTATTTTTTTTCATTAGCTGTGGACACTGTTAGAAAAACTACAGGATCCAATCCAAACTAAAGGAAAGGAAAGGTAAATGGTAAATGGTCACATTTTTCTATAGCGCTTTTCCACCTTCAAGGCACTCAAAGCACTTCACAACAAGGAACCACTCACACATTCACACACCAGTGTACGCAGACACTGTGGGCAAGGTGGGTTAAGTGTCTTGCCCAAGGACACAACGACAGCATTCATCTGTGGGAGCTGGAATCACACCAGCAACCTGTGGGTCAGTGGATCTGACCGCTCAACCTGTGATGTTTTATGTCGAGAGCTGGATTCAAACCACCAACCTTCAGATCAGTGGGCGAATGCTCCACCAACCGAGCTACTGCCGAAGGAAAACAATTTGTACCAAACTGAAAACTCCTGGCTGGAGGAGGTGGACCAAAGCACAGTGTGGGACAGCGCCTCATGTACGTACAAGCACAAGACTTTACTATACGAGCCCCGTGTGCTGATGTTACTCATACTGCTGATGTTACTCATACTGCTGATGTTACTCATACTGCTGATGTTACTCATACTGCTGATGTTACTCATACAAAATAAAGTTGCTCCAAAACATACAACAAATGTGTGCTGACCTTCAATAAGGACTGTGACAGAGACAGAAGTGTTACAGTCGCTCTCCTCTGTCTGTCCTCACTGCTCGGTGCTGTTTTTATCTCCATAAACTCACAGAGGTGTGGACTCACATCTGTCTCACTGTTTCATAGATATTTCTGCTGCTGGACTTATTTCTCCCCTAAAAGCGTTGGCGACATGTAAACAAACAGCGCCATGTCATGACATCATCGGGTCGTGGCTCGGTTCAGTTGTGCAGTGAGTGTGTGTGGCCACAGAAACCGACACGATTGTGTTTTAGCACAGCACGGGTCTAAAGTCCCAGTGTGAGAGTGTCCTGAGTCCAGCAGCGTTGGGGCAGACACACACACACACACACACACACACAGTTTGTCTGACTGGAGATGACTGGACGTCCCTCAGTCATGAAAACAACCTCAGGTCACAGAGCAGTAATTCACCTGCAGAGGGAACTTCAGTGTCTTTAACTGTTCTGAAGACAAGAGGCTCTTCACTCTTCATCAAAGTGGAACATGAGAGAGGAACATCCAACTCAGACTGACTCTCACTGACAACTGTTCTGGTTTGCAATAAAAAAAACATTTGCACAAAGCCCGTCCACTTTTCTGTGTTGATAAGAGGATCAAAATGATGAATCAAGGGACAAAAATGCATGATTAATTTGTGATTAATCGCAATTTAACGATGACATTAATGAGATTAATCGCGATTAAATATTTTAATCAACTGACAGCACTAATTTTGTTATATATTATCTTCTGGTTTAAAGTCCTCTCACCTGAACGTCTCTGGGGTTGAATAATGACTCCACTTTCATTTTATTTATTAACTTTTCTTTATTTTTTCATACTTTAACTGATATGAAAAAAGACAGTAGCTATAACATGTGGGGTGTGCCTTCGATAAATGTACATGAATAGTTTCTTCCTTAATTGCAAACGCGAAACAGCAATGAAAATAAAAGATCAACAACAAAACAAAGTCTGATCTTACAGTTTTGATGAAGTTCACCATTCCCATTTGGTCTTAAAATTGTCTTGTTGTAACCTGACACTAAAAGCAGAAACTCATCCAGTGTTTGTATTTGTGGATTAAACCATTTCTGAGTTATAGCTTTTGGAGCTGAAAAAAAAATCACTTTTGTTTATTTCTCCTGACAGAGAAGAGGCTGAACTTTGT